CTACGTCGTCAGGTAGCCAATATTAACTCAATCGTTACCTTTTCATATGACTAATTCTCCTTAAATAACTATAAGAACCAATAAGGAATGTCTGTTTTGCTCAGCGGAAATGATAAAAAGCGACTTCGGCCTGCAACGCAATTCACAGTAAAAAGATAGCAAGTTACCAGAGGCGGACTGGAGCCCTTGAGTGCCGCGGTTGATATTCGCTTGGTTATCGTAAACGCAGTAGACTTTCTACTCGTACCATGTGGACGTTTAGCAGTTCTCTTTGATGTGATAATATAAACAGGTCTGGTTGAGAATTCAAGGTTCTCGAGTTCTTCTGGGCGTGTTGTTCATCCGATCAGTATAATAGTGTTGAATAGGTTCGATTGCCGTCAGCCAGCAGAATTACTCAAGAGTGTGTGCTGCACTTCTATGAAGAAGCGTTTATTTTTTGGATAGATAGAGGTAGTGGTCCTGTTTGAAGCTCATCACCGTAGCTTAGTTGCCGGTGTCAACAGACGTAGTTTGAACGCTGTCGTTGCTTGGTCCACCACGTCTACCAGGAGGATATTCATCCTGTTGGCCCCACTGAAATAGATGGTACAACACCGACACGCCTTTCGTATGACTGTTATAGAAGCGGGAACATTGCTCACAGTTCAGGGTACAGATCCCCAAGGATTATGTGTCTGGTGTGAATTATATCGATCCGTGTTAATCCATAAGTCAACAGGAAGGAAACCATAATGTGAAGTCATCTTTTTCGGATGGCCCCACACAGCCGTGCGACGAGGCGGGTCTCCACCTGTATTATACTCGTTTCATTTTTTCGCTTCTGTAGCTGTTCATGGAAATGATTTTGAACCACCATTTCCCAATTGCGGATACACGATAAGAACTTCCAGCACTTAAGAAACGTTTAGAAAAAGTGCGCCAAAACATCCCTTTAGTTTTACCAGTATTCTCCAAATAGAAGCATGAGTTTTGTCGACATGGCTATTCCTGTTTAGATTTTTACTCAATCACACTTAGATCTTTTCCCAAGCAAATGGGAGAAGAGAGTTACTGTGCATGCGCAATATAAGCCGCCTGTCCTACCAACATATGGGCACAT